TTTGACATTGTTGAATAAAATCATCAATTATGTTATTTCCAGATGTCCAAGTGGTGAAAAGACTCTGTAATTGTAAATTAATACATCCTTCACAGAACCTATCAGAGTATCTTGTCAATTTACACTTGTTACATTTTTTTGGTTTTCCCATTTTATCTCTTGCATTTTTTAGTTCAAACTCATAAATAAACTTTTCTTTACAATATTCTTTTTCATTTTCAGAAAGCTCCTTGTTTTTTTTGACTAATGAAAAAAAATAATCTTTTATACTTTCTCTATTACAATTAGCATTAGCATTATTACGCATTTCATTGTCAATTTTATATACAAAATCCTTTCTTTCTGGTGATGATGATAAGAGTTTAGCATATGACATTATAAAATATAAAATATAAAATTTGATTTGGTGTTTTAATAAATGTGGAGAGAATTGAGTAGTGTGTAACAAGCAATTTTTTTCGTTCAATGTTTTTTATATTACCAATCAATTTATCATGATTCAACAATAAAAAAAATTCTTTGAAGATTTAAAGTGATAAAAATTGAAAACGAAATTAAAACTTACAAAATATGTACCAAAACCTGTCTTATGTGCTATGTAAATGTCATTACCAAATATTGATCGATCTATATTGGTTCAAACTTGGACACTAAAGACAGCTCAAACGTGTTTTATTTTATTATTAATACTGTGAATCCAAAATCAAAATTCGAAAAAACATCAAGTTATATGTATGTAAAAGTTGCTCTACATGCCAATATTTCTTTATCTTTATTGTAGTGATCAATAAAAATTTCATTAAGGATAACTTCTGGTATTCGCTTGAAAAAGCATAACTTCAGGTCCTCGCAGAGGAAAATAATAAAATAAACTCTTTGATAGAATCATTATTTTCATTAAATAAAATTAATCGCTAATAAACTTTTAAAAATAAAACGTTGTCTTTATTTTTTTTGTTTTTTTGTTTAAAGCGCTTTGATAAAAGAAACAGTTAGTGCCTGTAAAAGGCAACAATTGTGGAGCTTTGGTAAAAAGCCATGTTTATCTGCTTTAATGAGCAAGGTTAGGACTAACGGGTGAGTGTTACAACGATTAATAACGTAATTTGCTTTAGTGAGTAAGCAAAGGCTAATCGAAAATACTGATAGTATTATAGTCGTAAACGTAAGGTTGTTAAACAAGCTACTTAAGTTGTTTTGCAAAGGAACTTTATAAACCATAATTGTTAATTAACCGAAATGATACCTCGCAATATCACCATTTAACAAGAATTGAAAAATTGTAAAAGTTTATTTCAAAATATTGTTACAAGATAAGAAATAAAATAAGGATGAAATAAAAAGATAAATAAAAATAAGGTAATAATTTATAGCGGAGATTAAATTACGATTGTTACTAGAACCTAATGTTTATTAATTAATCAATTGATATTGTTAGTAATGGATAGTAATTTCCAATTAATTAGTAATGAAATTTTTATTCAAATTTAGAAAAAAGAGTCACAATCAAGATTATTTAACGAACTATTACTTGTAATTTTTAAGCTTTTAGATTTAGCAATCTCTTCATCTAATATTCTACTTGTTTGATGTGCATCTGGATGTGATTAGTGTGCTTGTTGCGGATCACTACCACTGCTGCTGCTGCTGCTGCTGCTACCATCATTAAAATCAATTTCATGTTTTTTGATTTTAGAAAATCCGAATAATCTTTTTATTAAACTATTATTTTTTAAGTTCTTATTTGTTAACCTTTTATTTTCAAGAATTTCATTTTTAATAATTTCGTTACGTTTATTATCAGCAAATATCCAAAGCTCTTCACTAGTTGGTCTTTTTGATGGATCCACATCCCAACACCTCTGCATCATTTGCACATAATCATCAGGCATTTCCAGGTAGTATTGGTGGTCGTAAACCTTCACATATATCAAAAATCAAACGATGATTATGAGCTCTATCATCAAATGGTGGATGTCCTGCAAATACTATAGATGTCAATTTCTTTGGTGTTCTTTGTATTAATTTTACCTCTAAGTAGCTCGGGTGCAACATATGATACAATTCCATAAACTTTATTTGATGATTCATCATCAACTGGTCCACATAATCCTAAATCTGTAATATAACAATTACCTCCTCTACTCATTAATATATTACCACTATGTAAATCACAATGGATTAAATCTTTTTTATGTATATCATTTAATGCATAACATAGATAACAAAATATTATAATTCTGTCTTTTAATGTTAAATGATTTTTTTGTAAATAACCCCTTAAATTTCCCTCTGGTAAATAATTTAAAACAATTGCGTAATTTCCATTATCTGGGAATTTAGTTATACCAAAGCAATCAACAATCAACTCTGATTTAATTTTAGAATAATTCATTGCCTATAATTAAATATAAAACCAATTAGTATTATATAATACAGCATTGTTTTAAATGACAACTACCAACCTCATCAAAAAAGCCTTTTCCTGGA